GCAGTGTATTATTTGTTGAAACTGTACTTCTGATTTGATTTGAAACTGTCTCATTGCTATATGTTTATCAATAAAACTTTGAAAAGAAAAAAAAATAAAACCAACCACAGGCAAAGTTAAAAAAAAAAAAGAATCAATGAAGCTATCTAACATAATTATATTGTGATGAGCATTCAGTAATTGATACTATTTCTGTTTTATTCCAGAAAACAGCTCCTTGAACATGGTGAGGTAAACATCTCCTCGTTTTACTCTGTGTAGGCTACTGTGTTAAATTCTAGGTCAAGTTAATTCATGAGGGTGCCGCCTGGCTTGAGGCCCTGAGTGCTGGTAATGCATTTCTGCTGAGCCTCTGTGCCAGCCTGCTCTTGTACTTGGATAGTAGTTGGGATTTGGAAGCAAGCTCAGAAAATACAGAGCAATTATCATTGAGAAATAACCCATTAACTTTTGGTATGATCTCCTATAGCATCATCCTCTACACTCCTTTGTGCACGCCAGTGTGTGTATGTGTGTGTGTGTGTGTGTGCGTGTGTGTGTGTGCATGTATGTGTATACTCAGATATTTTTGTATTGTTTTTTTACAGATTAATGTTCTGCACATATGCAGTTTTATATCCTGGAAACTCTTCCATGCCATTGAATAATCTTTGAATATGTAATTTTTATTGGCCATATATCTGTGAAAATGTAGTGATTTGTTTCTTGTTCCTGTTAGTCACTTAAGCTGTTTCCTTTCTTTGCTGTTAAATAAACACTTCAGTGATCGTTGTATTTGTTTTGATTATTTGTTTAGACAAGTTCCTAGAATGGCAGTTTACATCAAGGGTGTTGGCTCTTTCCTAAACCCTGATAAACATTTTGAATTATGAAAATGTACCAATTTATTTGTCAGTGCTTCTTTATTTTGTCTCTCTAACATGCAGTATTAATCCTAACCTTATAAATGGGACTACCTCATTATTTTTAACATTCAATTTGAATATTAGTGATTTAGAACATAAATACTGAGTTGCCATTTACCTTTTGTTGCATTAGTTATTTTTATTTATTTATTGTCTCTAGTGAGTTGATATTTTATGAACATCTGTTAGAGAAGTTTCCTTTGAAACCTTTGCTAGCAGAATTCTCTCCTAGATCTAAGTAGGGTGCCCCACTAATTAGCATAAATATTTCTATGTTTATCCCACTCCTCTCCTTTTCCAATGATCAAGTTCTTGTGCTGCTGTCACTGCTGCTATTGACTGAAGGACCATGTCTTTGACAAGCTGTCTTCCCTGCTTCTATCCCTGGCTCAGCTCTCACTTTGTGCAAACCCTTGCTCAGATGTCACCTTTTTAATGCAGTCCGTGGAGACCGCTGTTCTACCCTACAGCCCTGCCTATGGCCCACAGCACATCCTGCAGTCCCGGGCTCTTTCCCTACCCACCCTCTTGCCGTGCACTCACCACTCTGTACTGGGCGGTAATGGGTTCATTTATGTGTGGTGTCCACTTGTTGCCAGTCCTTGCTGAACACACTAACATCTCAGCTCACAAGGGTGAAAGTTGCTGAGAGTTTTATCTGAAGCCCCACAACAGAGCCTGGGCTTTAACAGGCATTCAGTGGGTCTTTGTAGAATGAATAAATGACAGTAGGTATAGTAATATGTTAGATCTTTGGCCTAATGCCTAATAATAGTTTTCATGTACATTCTTATTTGTTGCAAAACATGTAAAGTGAAAGTGTCATTTTGTTTTGCATTTCTATAGCTGGTTTTTCACACATTGCAGTTGTTGGCGTTTGCAGCCCTTGCCATCTTGATTCTGAGGCTGAAGCTGTTTCTGACACCGCACATGTGTGTTATGGCTTCCCTGATCTGCTCCCGAAGGGTAAGGGGTTCGTTGTTGTATGAGTGGACTGTGATAGCTTAGCAACAAATGCCAGGGCTTTGCTGAGTAATGCGGAGGGTAAAGGGACCGTTTTTAGGCTGCCCAACCTAAACTGTTCACAATGATAGTGCTCGACTCGCTGAGTGTGCTGAGTGACGTCTGGTGGCTTTGAAAATGATTCCTAGAGTGTAGCTGCTGTTTCTATGATGAGTAAAGAGGCGCTTTCCCCTGGGCTGGTGTGCTGTCCCCAACCACAGTCCCCAGCCCCCAG